TTGTGGTCATAAGTCGAGGGCCACCTGTATACTTCCCTTTCTTCAAAAGTCCAGAGAGGTAATCCTCATCTTACAGGTAGCCCTTGACTTAGAACCATTGTTTTAGTGACCACTCAAAATTACAATGGCACTGAAAAAAGTGGTTTATGACCAGTCCTCACACGTTTTGACCACTGCAGCATCCTCATAATCATGTGATCAAAATTTGTGTGCTTGGCAAATGGTATGTAGTTATGATGGTTGCGGCATCCAGGGGCCATGTGATTGACATTTGTCACCTTCCCTGCTGACTTCTGACAAGCAAAGACAATGGGTGAAGCTTAATGACAGAGAAAGTCATTTAACAACTGCAGTGATGTGTTTAACAGCCATGGCAAAAATGCTGTAAAATCAAGTGCAACTCACTTAAGAGCCACCTTGCGTAGCGATAAAATTTCTGGACCCAATTGTGGTTGTAAGTTGATAACTGCTTGTATATACATTTCTCTCTTTATATTTGCAACAGTCAGAGAAAAGATTATGTTGAAATCAGAATCGAGCTGGAAGGGACCTTGGATGTCTTCTAGTCCAGCCCCTGTTCAACCAGGAGATCCTATATTATTTCAGACAAGTGGCTGTCCAGGCTCTTCTTAAAACCTTCCAGCGATGAAGCACCCCACAATGTCTGAAGGCAAGCTGTTCCACTGGTTAATTGTCCTCACTGTTAGGAAGTTTCTCCTTAATTCCAAGTTGCTTCTCTCCTTGATTAGTTTCCATCCATTGCTTCTTGTCCTGCCCTCAGGTGTTTTGGAAACAAATTGACCTCTTCCTCTTTGTGGTAATCTCCGTGGAATACTGCTCTCATGTCCCTTGATCTCTGACACACAATATTTTATCTCAACCACATGTATTAAAAAATACTACTCCTATAATCTATTTCACAGTGTGAATCTTATATGTCACAATCCCAATACATCAGGAAGGCATAGATTTTGAAAGGCTGTAAGAGATGGACCTGAAGATAGGTTCAGTGTAAGATTTTTTTCAGTGATCCTTTTTTTTTTGTTGTTTAGATAAATGAATATTGTTGGGTGCCTGGAGTTATGGCTAATAAATATATGTTGTCAACTTCCCACTAAACCATTAAAATATGATGAATTATCTCCCCTCAATGTAATGCATAGCAAATTGAGCTGTAAGATTATAAATTAGTTCTTAATATTCTATCAGACTGCAATCTACCATGGTGCAAATTACACAAAATATCAAATCTGTACATATATAATAGCATCTGTTCTTCAAAAATATGTCAATGTGTATTTCTTTAACAGGATCCAAATTTCAAAAGACATTCAAAAGTCAATCAATCAATCAATCAATCAACAATCAATCTCTTCCCCATTTATATTTTTAGCTCCCTCTTTAATCCTGAATAGTGTAGGTGGAAGATTTAGCATTTTGACTTTTATATGACAGCTAAACATCTGTGAAGCGACAAACTGCTGTTGCGTATTAGATATTGAGGTAATTCTGATCTTTTATGGCAATGATTACTATTTGAGAACTTAGACAATATTGAATGCATGCACATTGTGATATTCCCTTTTGGAGAAAAATATTATGGAAAGTACAAAAAAAAAATGAAATAAGATCAATCCAAGGTCTGCTATATTTATCATCTGAGTTTTTAAACAAGACATGGCACATCTTAAAGTACATATAATCATACCTCTAACAACACTAGAAACATTGGTCTGTAAATATCTTAAACAACACATATCCTTGTTTAATTTTGTGCTGAAGGCTGAATTATTCACATTCTGTTAATTCTTATATGTGTTTTACAGTGTTCATTCACTGTTCTTATAAGTTTTAGCAACCTGGTTTCCAAATCCATATTTGATATTCTATGGTTCAGACTTATTCATTTAATCAAAGATATCCTCTCAACCAACCATGTACAACTAATTTTCTTACCTACACCAATTTCTCAGTGATCTGATAAAGTGTAAAAATCTCTTCATCACATCATTCTTTTGTCCCAAAGGTGCTGTTCCCAAAAGGCAACTGGACTTTCTTGGTTATTTTCTTTGAAAGGATTTTGTTTCTCATCCAAAAAAACTTCTTCAGTCCTAACTAATTAGATCTGTTAGAACTGCTCAGTTAGAACTGAAGAAGGGTGAAGCTTTTTTTTTTTCAAAGGAAAACAACAACAACAAGAAAGACCAGTTGCCTTTTTGAAAAATCACCTTTAGGACAACCATGATCTGGATGATTGAGAATTTCCACAGACAGATCACTCTTTTTCACGTAAAGTCACTCTGTCCTTCAGAAATTGGACACACAATATCTTTCAATGGGAATTATGTATTCCAATAATACGATAAAAATGAAAATGAAACACTATAAAATATTTAATTCCAAAATAACAATGTTAAGAGCTATCTTGCCTTTCATTCACAGGCTCAAGCTAGCATATAGCCTCATATTTTTCTTCATAATAATAGCCTCTGTTTTATTTCTCTTCATAACCACAGCCTTCTGTAGTAGCTTCACCTGAGAGACCATCTGACCCAGGTCTCCTAGTGAGCTTCTATGACTGAGGGTGAACCCTATAAATCTCCTACAGCCAGAATAACATCTTAATCACTACAACACATCTTGAAGCTCCAACATGAATGCTTTTCATTTATAGATTCTACAGGTAGTAGGCTTTTCATTTATAGATTCTACAGGTAGTCTTCGACTTATGACCACAACTGGGACTGTAATTTTGGTTGCTGAGCAACGTGGTCATTAAGCAAGTCATCACATGACCAGATCCAATTTGTTGATCATTTCTACCATTGTTGTTAAGCGAATCACATCATCATTAAGCAAATCCAGCTTCCCCAATTGGCTTTGCTTATTGGAATCTGGCTGGAAAGGTCACGAATAGGAATCATGTGGCCTCAGGACCATTGTAAAAGGAAGCCAACTGCTCAGCTCCCAAATTACAATCATCTGATACCAAGGTTTGGTGAAATGGTTGAAACTTGTTATAAATTGTAACTCTGTAAGTCACTTTTTTCAGCACATCTTTCGAGTGGTCATTAAATGAATGGCCTTTAGCTGAGGACTACTATAATCTAGTGCATTGTCAGAGCCAAGAGAAACTAAGGGAACATACAAAAGACTATGTCTCTACAGTATGTCATCATCAGTCTCCTTCTTTCCCTTTGACATTAAGAAGTTCTACAGAAAAGAAAAAAGTACAGCAAGCACACACAATGAATATTAATAATAGGCAATAAGTACGGAATCAATCTATTATCCCTTTGATACTCCAATTAATGGGTTTGGGGGATAAAAATGGAAGCTTTAATTATTTCAAAAGTATTGCTACCATAAAACATTATTCAGTCAGGCATTTTAGTTCTTGCTGCTGAAATACCAACATAGACTTTACTTCACTTAGACCTACAGGGAGAAGTAGTGCACCAGAGCATTTGCCAATTTCTGAACTTAAGCTGGTTCTAAATTACAGGATTTCAAAGCAATTTTAAATTATGGAGCAAGACCTCTTCTCTATAGAGATCAAGTGACCATGAATAAAGAATTTGAAGCAGCAAATTTGTTGCCGCAGTATACAAGCTACACACTTTATACCAGCTCTAAAATTGTGCCCTCAAGACTTAATGTAATTGAAGACCTAACAAATATAATTGCAGGATTTCTTCCTAGAAATCACAAACCCTGAGTGGGCTACATATAAGAATTTTGTTATCTTAAAAGATCTAATGCACATTAACATTTGCAAGATCTGCTGATACCAATGATGCTGATTCAGAAAGAAAAAATGTTTTAGTACAATAAAATAGTGCATTAAGAGAAGTGATTATTGTCCAACAACTCCCAGTCTAGTTTAGAAATTTCTCTTTTAGCAAGACTTGTAAAATCAATTATTGCTAAATGGGAAACAATTAAAACAATAGAGAAAGGAATTAAAAAGTGACACATGTTCAATGGGGAATATACTTATGCAGTGAAGCAAAATAGATTAAAACCCGGCAGGAAATGATTATGTAGGAAAATCTTCTCCTAGCTTTATTAAATGATGCTTTAGTTAAATAATTAGAATGTCTATAAATCTCACTTCAAAGCCTAGAAGAATGTTTTAATACTTTTTATTAGGATCAAAGTTAATCTTATATATTACCAATAAGCCCAGATGAATTTTAAAAAATAGTAGCAGTATGTATGTATGTATGTATGTATGTATGTATGTATGTATGTATTTATTTATTTATTTATTTATTTGTATCCTGCCTTAATTATTTTTCAAAATAATTCAAGGTTGCAAACATACTGTATATGACACACTTTTGTCCTCCTATTTTCTCCCAACAACAACCTGGTGAGCTGAGCTGAGCTGAGAGTGACTGGCCCAAAGTCACCCTGCTGGCTTTCATGGCTATGGCAGGATTAGAACTCATGGACTTCCACTTTCCAGCCTACTGCCTTAACCACTAGACCAACCTGGTCTAGATTTTAAATAAACTATAAATAAATATAAATAGATTCAATTTATAATTGATGAAATGTCCTAAAACAAAAACCCTTAGGCAGTGGTGAAATCTAAAATTTGTTACTACCGATTCTGTGGGCGTGGCTTGGTGGTGGTGGGGTAATGTGACTGGGTGGGTGTGGCCAATTTTTTTTTTACTTTTAAAACCATTTTTTACATGTAAAACCATGTAAAAAAATGCTTTCAAAAGGCTCTGACGATCCCAGCTGAGTTGCCTGATCAGCGGGCAACTCAGCTGGGATCGCCAGAGCTTGGATCGTCAGAGCTTGGTTCATCAGAGGCATTTAAAAGAAAAAAAGCCTCTGATGATCAGCTGGATGTGGGGGGCGGGGGCAGGGATTTTTGCTACCGGTTCTCCGAACTGCCCGCCACCATCGCTACCTACTTGCCCGAGCTGGTCCAAACTGGGAGCATTTCACCCCTGCCCTTAGGAATTTAAACATGTAGCACTTACCTCCAATAGCTTTAGACTGGCAATTAATAAATTCTGGCTTTTTGTCTGTAAGATACCGTTGACAAGTATGATGGAGAATTTGAAAGAATGTACATTTCTCAGAGGCTGTACTCGCCACCCATTGGTCAAAAGCATTTTCAAACAATAAATCAAATTCTGGGGAATCCTAGAAAGAAAAAGATCAGATTACCAGGGAAATACTTTAATATTACAAAGTCTTGCTATATTAGATTTTCTTTTAACAGCACACTAAAACATTATGCAAAAGTTCATAACCAACTTTTGTACAATAACAGTATTATATAATAGTTTTAATTCCATGCTATTACAAAATGCTATTTGAAGACAAATAAGTAATTCAATAGCACATAGAAGGCAACCATTCTCAATGTAATCCTGGAAACAAACATTGAATCTATCTGGCTCTGAAATAATCTGTTGTTAAGTTACAAGAATACATTTCAGAATGTATTACATGGTCACGCTGCTGGAAGACAGCATGATAAAGAGTTTTATATTATTCTGGATCCCCGAAATATTTTTGAATTAGTTTCCATAATCTCCAAACATAGATCATACTGACAAGTGATGATGAATGTTTTAGTTTTGAGTTTTAGGTTGTCAACAGTAGGTGCTACTTTCGCTAATCATTTGGAACTCCAAGAATCTGCTCTTGAAATGAAATATGTTTCCTGCTATGAAATTTAGGATAGATAACAAGGAAGTTTTCTTTGCCTCTTTATAAAAAGATAGGCATTTGTGACATGGCCAGAGCTAGGACAGAAAGCTTTGCAAGGGAGTAGAATCAGGGGTGGGTTCTAAATTTTTTTACTACTGGTTCTGTGGGCATGGCTTATTTTGTGGGCGTGGTTTGATGGTCATGTGACAATTCTTTAGGATTTAGCAGAGATACTGGTTTACCAGGCTTTTAACTGCTTGTAGAGCTGTACCGGTCTACCCATTTGTTTTTGGAGGCACCGGTCTACCCATTTGTTTTTCGAGCGCACTGGTCTACCACCACACTGCCTTTTAACATTGATCAGCTGTAGGGCGGCTCTTTGAAGCCTCGCGGCAAGAGTTTAAACAGTTTTTTTCCTTCTAGCTGATCAGCTGGGACTCGGGAGGCAGCGAATAGATTGGGGGTGGGGCCAAATAAAAGGTAAGAATAATGCGGGAGGGCCCAGCTCCTGAACAAAGAGAACCGGTTCGGTGACATCATATCGTCACCGCTACCAGCTCGGCCGAATAGTATAAAGGTAAAAGTAAGGGAGAAACTGCTTTCCATTTCATTGTATATCACTACCTGCTTGTTGGGTATATGGTAGGGGTTCATACTCAGTACAATGAACTCTTAACAGATCAAGTCTGTTCCATTGAAACTAAGGTGGCAGATATTAAGAATCAGAGAAATATGTAAACAAGATGCAAAAGCTTTCTCCCACTTCCAGAATGTTAGTTTAGCAAGCCATAGAAATGACCTAGGAGAGAATTGTAGAACAGAACAAAAATGTATGTTAAATCCAAGAAACGGAGAAAGCACAAGAAAGAAACTCAGACTGGATCTACCCTAATCCAATGGGGTGTAAAAGGGAGGAAACAAAACAGTCTGGCTTTCAAGATTCTCTTACGATAGCTGAAATAATTAAAATGTTGGAGTCAGTTTCCCTGACTGTCTATTGCTACTAACTACCTACTAACAGATATTCCTTGTTATGGAGAATCTCTTTGGGAAATGAGGCTATCATTTCAAGGATAAAAGATGTTCCCATAAAGAAGTTTTTCTCTCTGTCTTCCTGTGTGTGGGTGTGCATGTGTATGTTCATGCTGTATGTGCCTTGACTGCCTGGACTAGTTCCTGCAGTTTTCTTGGCAAGGTTTTTGTAAGTGATTTGCCAATGCCTTCTTCCTAAGACTGATAGTGACTAGCCCAAGGTCACCCAGCTGGCTTCATGCCTTAAGTGAAACATGAACTTACAGCGTCCTAGTTTCTAGCCTAATGCCATAAGTACAACACTAAACTCTTTCTTCTGATAAGAGGAATCAGATATTTTGGTGATAAACTCATATTTGTTCATTCTGCTTCCAGAATATTCCTTCGGAGGCAGTGGCTGGCGATTCATTAATCATTTCATGAAAAACATAAATATATAAGTTTGTGAGCATGAAGATGACCCTGAAGCTTGCCTGGCTTGTGAAAAAGCTATCACATACTGTATATATGTAAATCTCTGGATACTGGAGGAAAATCAAGGGTGAAATCTACTTACCTTCCTTATTAATTTGGTAGTGCACACGCAGTGCACCTCGCTCCGCATGTGCCTGCACACCTTCTGCACATGTGTAAATCCTTCTGCGCATGCGCAGAAGGTAAAAAAAACATTACTTCCTGGTTAAAACCCTGGCAAACCCTGGGACAAAAATAAGAAAAAAAAATTCTTCCTCTGCCTACCAGCATCCATCGGTATTCATCTGGCTAGCATCCTTAGCAAACAACCTGGACAGCTTCAGCACATTAGCTTGATTCTGCATGAGCAGCTGATTGGCGAGTGGATTGGCCTCCTGGAATACCCCCAATAAGCTGTTTCCAGAGGTGAACTTTAGCAACAGGTTCACTGGTTGTGAGCACACGCACCTTGTTGGGGCAGCTCCTTTGCCAACGGAGCTTTTGGAGGCTGCAAAGGCAGCTTCTCCATAGTGTAGAAATGGGAGGTGCCAGTCTGGGTATTCCTTGCTCTAGCTCTATGTCCTGAGCTGAAAAGTTCTGAAGATCCGCCTCCCTGGTGACGTCTCTCCAGTTTTTTTCAGCTCAGCACAGCTCATGGTTGCAAATTTTTAGCTCCTGAGCTTTGAGCCAGTAAAGATACTATTTTTTTCCCTGGATTTCTTTCTTTTTCCTTTTATTTATTTTCTCTCTTTTGGAAATTGCTGCTGCTTTCTCCTCATTGCTTGATTGCAGGTACTGATCAAAGGGGAGCTCTCCGGTTTTCTGGATTGAGCGTGGGGGGGGGTGGCTGTTGTTCTCCCCTCAATCTCCCCTATCGTGTGGGCGGCTGTGAGGGGCTAGCCAGCTGGCTTTCGCCCAGGTCCCTCCAAATACTCTTCGGAAGCCTCTCAGGCTTCACAGACAGCCGCGGGAGCCGCGCGCGCCATTTTGAAGGGCCGCGGCGTCCCTTTGATCACCGCTTGTCAGCTGGGAGGCGGAGCAGCGCTTTTTGGCCTTATTTGCCGGTTTGGAGCCTTTCTGATTCTGCTGCAGCCGTGCCAGCCGGATTTGGCTGGTGGGTTGAAATAGGTGCCTTGGCTGAAGAGTGTGTGCCGGGCGCAGGGCCACGCTACACCCTGGCTGGCAATGGCGGCCTGTAAGTCGCGGCGGCCTTCGTCCCCGCGCATTTTTTGGCACGAATTTGTCCAGGCGGCTGTGATCCCCTGGCAACCTTTGGGCACAGCGCTGGTGTATTTTTACTTGAGAAGCAGAGGAGAGTGTAGATTTCTGACCAGCGCTTTTTTTATCTGCGGGTTTGCCTGGCGGCCTGACCTGATACTGCTTCTGATCATAAAAGAGAGCCTTTATTTAAACTATAGCAGTTGAAGAGCGGCCATTTTGAAAACCGGGAGCCATTTTGTATTTCGTTTCAAGGCCAGTATAATTTTATTTAGTTTATTTTTCTCTCCTTTGTTGTCTATTTGCAGAGTCTTTGGATTTTGGTTTCCTGTGATTGCCAACTGACTTAACATAATGGGGGATGCTGACAGGCAACCATCTTTCTCTGCTGAGGGCTCCTGGTCCCCTCCACCTGATAGGGGCAGGGCGGCCTCTAGGCCACGACCTGCAAGCATTGCTGCAGCTAATAAAATTAAGGCCAAGGCTAGAGCTCGCCCTGGGCGTTCCAAGGCTGAGGAAAAGACAGCTCAAGTCAGACAACGTGCCTTGGACAGAGAATTTGCAAAGGCTGCTGCCATTATTTCGGCTGCTGACACCCCTCAAGCCATTGTGCCTGCGCTTCAGCTATCAGTTCAGACTGTGGAAGATTCTGTTCCTCAGACTGTCCATTCTCCCACCTTGGCTGGGCCGTCCAGGGCATGGTCTCCAGAGATGCAGGCCGAGCCCCAGCAGCGTCCAGGGCCTTCTGGGACCACCAAACGCCCTGAAGCCACCTATACCCCCACTGCAGCTGGCCTTTGCCAGGATGAAGTGGGGGAGCTGAATGTTCAGAATTCCATGAAGTCCTGGGTGGAGCAGGCTATTAGGCAGGGCATTGCAGAAGGGATGCAGCTTCAGTCACAGATGTTTGCCCAGATGTATGCCCTTAGACCTGAGGTGGAGTCCCAGGGATATATTGCCCCTTCTGAGGATTACCAAGGGCAGGTCTCCCCTTCCCCTTCTGAACTAGTTGACTATGCAGAAGACTATCTGGAGGAGGGAGAGATTTCGGATGGGGATCAGATCCAACCACCCAGGCCCGCTTTCAAGGGCTTATTTAATCCTGCTCTTTTGAAGCCACTTCTGACTAAGGCCAGGGCCACTGCTCGATTGGGTCCTGACCCAGCACTCTCTGGTACCTCGGGTACTGGAGAGCAGGATGATTATCTTTTCACAGAACAGGTGGTGGAGGCAGATACTATTCCTATTCCGGGAATGTTTCTGGACATGATCCGTAGACAGTGGGCGGCCCCAGCTCTACCCTCCAGGGCCTCAGGGCTGGACAACCAGTTGTTTACGGTGGATGCGGACATGCTTACCTTGCTGGAGGTTCCAAAGGTGGACGCTCTGGTGGCGGCTCTCACTTCTTCTGTTTTACCACCTAATGCAGAGGACGCCTTAAAGGCAGAAGATAGACGAGAGGAGACGGCACTTCGTCGTGCGCACCAGGCGGATGCCTGGGCTGTAAGAGCTTCTTCGGCAGCATCCTTTCTCACCAGAGCGTCGGTCAGATGGCTTCGCCAGCTACAAGGCCATTTGGCACCAGATGATGTTCGGGCCCACCAAGACTTTTCTAAGATTTTAGCTGCAGCTGAATACACGGCGGACGCTACCTTAGCAGCTGCCAGGTTCTCTGCCAAGGCCATGGCTTCGTCAGTCACCGCTAGACGTATGCTTTGGCTAGGTCATTGGCGAATGGATGGGAAGAACAAGTGGAAGTTGGCTTCCGCTCCCTTTGAAGGGGGGTTTCTTTTTGGACAAGCCTTAGATCCCCTACTTATCGAAACAAGGGATAAGAGGAAGGTCCTCCCATCCCAGAGCAGGCGAACGGATTTCCGTTCATCCCCTTACTATAGGCGGCCCTCCTTCTGCCAGGGGGGAGCCGGGCCAAGATTTCCCCATCAGCAACGGCCCTTTCACTCCTCCAGACCTAATTATCAGGCAGATAGATCAGCCTTCCCCCGGGGTCGCCAACAGTTGTCCAACAAGCCCTTCAGGGGCTCCGGTGGCAGAGGGGCCAGGAGATCTAAGTGACTATCCGTCACTGGACCCTCTTGGGGGCAGGCTCGGCCTGTTTGCGGACCGCTGGGACGACCTAACTACAGACAATTGGGTGAGGGAGACAGTAAGAGCAGGGCTCTCCCTCAAATTCCTTTCACCTCCTCCGAGGCGTTTCCTCCCCTGCCCCGTTTCTGGAGACCCATTCAGGCGGGAACTCATGGAATCGGCTATCCAGCATTTGCTGGATATCCGGGCCATTCAGCCGGTTCCATGGGGGCAGTGGGGGCGCGGGTTCTATTCCATCCTATTTGTCATCCCAAAGGCCTCGGGGGGGGGGGGGGGGGGGGGCAATTCTAAATTTGAAGGGCCTCAACGAGTTTATCGTCTACAGGAGGTTCAAAATGCACTCCCTGCATTCCATTTTAGCCGGAATCAGGGAGGGAGACTTCCTAGCCTCCATAGATTTGACTGAAGCCTACCTCCACATCCCAATTCGCCCGGAGCATCGTCAATACCTGAGGTTTTGCTATTCAGGCTGTCACTTCCAATATCTTGCCCTGCCGTTCGGGCTGGCCTCCGCCCCCCGGACGTTTACCAAGATTCTCTCTGCATTGGCGGCGTATCTCAGGTCTCTTCCCATCAGAATTCAATGTTACCTCGACGATCTGCTCATACAAGGGTCCTCCCAGCGGCGAGCGGAACAGGACTTGGCCACAACAATACAGGTATTGAGGGACCACGGGTTCTCGGTGAATCTGGCAAAGTGTCATCTCGTACCTTCTACAAGGTTAGTTCACCTAGGGGCCCTGATAGACACGCTGGCGGGGCAGGTCTTCTTGTCCCCGGATAGACAGGACAGTATCAGGGCGCTGATTCAGTCTCTTCAAGGGTCCCAGACAGTTCAGGTAGCCCAGCTATCCCAATTGTTGGGAAAAATGATATCTTGTATGAACATAGTTCCCTGGGCCAGGTTCCATGCGAGACCACTACAGTTCTTGCTCCCCTTTCAGAAGGCAGGAACGAGCTCATCCAAGATGAGGGTTCAGGTTCCCCCACGGGTCCTACGACCTCTGACCTGGTGGATGTCAGGGGCCCTCCAGAAGGGGTGCTTCTTCAGGGAACCCCACAGGGTGATAGTAACGTCGGATGCCAGTCTGATGGGCTGGGGGGGGGCCATTGCGGGTCTCAGGTGGCCCAGGGCCGCTGGTCCTGCCAAGATCTATCCCATCAGATCAATTGGTTGGAGCTCCGGGCTGCCCCTCTGTCTCTTCAGTCCTTTCTTCCCCAGGTGAGGGGGCAGCATGTGCTCCTTCTCACAGACAATACGACGACGAAAGCCCATATCAACAGACAAGGGGGGACTCGTTCCGGGCCTCTAATGCGAGAGGCGGAGACCCTCTGTCTTTGGGCAGAGTCTCACCTTTTGTCCCTGACAGCAGACTACATCGCAGGACGGACAACGTAGAAGCTGACTGGCTGAGCCGAGCCATTGTGGATCCCTCGGAGTGGAGGCTCCATCCCAACTTGTTTGCGGAAGTAGTCGACCGGTTCAGCCACCCGGTAGTGGACCTCTTCGCCTCCCCAGCGAACACACAACTCCCCCTTTTCTTCTCCCGGTTTCCTGCCCCGGGAGTGGACGCTCTGCGGACCCCATGGCCCAAGGGCCTCCTATACGCCTTCCCTCCCCTACCCCTGATCCCGGCCGTCATTCGGAAGTTGATGCTGGAGGGGGCGGAACTGGTCTTAGTGCCCCTCATTGGCCCAGACGCCCTTGGTTCGCCGACCTGGTCGACCTGTCGGTCGCCAAACCCTGGCGGATTCCCCCGGACAGAGTCACGCTCAGCCAGGGCCCGGTTCAGCATCCGGACCCGCAGAGACTGCAGTTAGCCGCTTGGAGTTTGAGCGGGGCCTCTTGAGGCGGGAGAACTTTCCGACCAGGGTCATCAGGACTATGCAGGCGGCCAGGCGGCCCTCCACCACGCGAATTTATGAGGCAACATGGAACAGATTTGCCGGGTGGTGTGCCTCCAGACAGTTGAGCCCGACTTCAGCATCGGTGGTGGAGGTGCTAGAGTTCCTTCAGGACGGGTTGGACATGGGACTTTCCACTAACACTCTACGGTGACAGGTGGCTGCGCTAGGCACTGTTTTGACATTTGGGAAGTGGGGCTCCCTCGCTAACCATCCGAGGATGAAGATCTTTCTGCGTGGGGCGGTTAATTTGAAACCGCCGCCTCTTCACCGTTATCCCACTTGGGACTCGCTAAGGTTCTTCAGGCTTTAACTAAGGCACCCTTCGAACCTTTGAGGGAAACTAGTCTCCGTCTCCTATCGTGTAAGGTAGCTTTCCTTGTGGCCGTCACGTCGGCCCGACGGATCTCAGAGTTGGCGGCTTTATCGGTGCGGAAAGACCTCTGTATTTTTCACCCCAACAGGGTGGTTCTGCGGCTGGACCCTGCCTTCCTTCCTAAGGTCAACTCCTTGTTCCACCGAGCACAGGAGTTGGTCCTGCCAGACTTCTGCCCTCGGCCTAGGCACGCCTTGGAGCAGACCTGGCACACTTTGGATGTGAGGAGGGCCTTCCGTATTTACATTTTTAGAACCTCTTCTTTCCGGAAGACGGAGGCACTCTTTGTCTCCTTTCAGCCATCGACTCTTGGCCACAGGGTGACCTCTTCCACGGTGGGACGCTGGCTTAGGATGTGCATCTCATCTGCATATGAGCTTCAGGCTCTCCCGGTGCCTCAAGGGATAACAGCCCACTCCACCCGCAGTGCTGCCACGACTGCGGCCTGGTCTACTCAGGCGTCAGTGGAAGACATTTGTAGGGCGGCCACATGGACTTTTCCCACTCCCTTCATCCGTCACTATAGACTTGACTCCTTCGCTTCGGCGGAGGCAGCTTTTGGGAGAAGGATTCTGCAGCGGGTTCATGAAGATCCGGGGTCGTCGGCCCAGGACAGCTCCCACCCTTAGGGCTGGCCAGTCTTTGGTATATCCCAGACTGGCACCTCCCATTTCTACACTATGGAGAAGGGACGTTGGTCTTACCGTGATACGTTCCTTCTTGTAGTGTGAAATGGGAGGTGCCAGCCCCACCCTGCTTGTGGCTGCCTGGACCGGCTCCCCTGGTGGAGCATGTTGTTTCTATCTTTCAGACTGTGTACCTTGGCCTGGACTGCGTACCATTCGCTTTGGCTTCGCTGGCAAAACTGAAGAGACGTCACCAGGGAGGCGGATCTTCAGAACTTTTCAGCTCAGGACATAGAGCTAGAGTAAGGAATACCCAGACTGGCACCTCCCATTTCACACTATGAGAAGGAACGTATCACGGTAAGACCAATGTCCCTTCTCAAATGGACCTTTTGGAGGATGTTTGAGAAGCTGCATTTGCAGCCTCCAAAAACTCCGTTTGAGAGGACGCATGGAAGCTGAAGGGTGGGGACGGCCGGTGGGTGGGCGGGGCTACATTCGGTGTATAAGACGCACCCAAATTTTCACCCTCTTTTGGGGGGGGGAAGTGTGTCTTATATTCCAAAAAATATGGTACTTTTAGTGCCATTTGGCATTAAATGAAGTAGACATTCTTGAATATTCAAAAACTTTTCAAAGTTCTTTGACAAGGATCTTGAGTAAACTGGACAGTCATGTGATCAGAGGATGTGTCCTTTTATGGATTACTAACTGGTTAAAAACAGCAAAGAGTACAAATATGTATTATTAGCCTCTATCCAAATAGTCCATTAGACTAATTGCTTACTGGATATAATAAAGTGATAAAATCTACAATGATTTAGAAAGAAACCAAGAATATCTGGAATCTTTACTCAGGATCTTGAAGATTTATGGCTATCATCTTAAAATATCTATTATAGCGCCTATTTCTTAAAAAGTAAAATCAAAGCAATTGCCCTTCTCCCACATGTACTAATGATTGAACTGTTCCCAAAAAAGAAAGGGTGAAGGCAGTCTGAGTAATCATAAGAAACAACAGACAAGTAAAAGGACCTTGTTAAATGAGAAGCACCTCTATTATCATATACTTACCCGATGAGGATCTAAACCATTAACCTGGCGAAGCTGTTCAAGCATCCATTGTGACCTTCGTACAAACGATGTAGAACCTTCAAATTGTTTAATTTTTGTAATATATGCTTGTGCAGGTTTCTTGTTTGTCACTGCAAACATAAAACAAAAAGGATTGTATATAAGCTTGCAAATGTCTCTGAGAATTGCACACAAGCTTAAAATAGTCTTGTTTATAGAAACAACATTTTATCTGTTCAGTCAATCATGACAAACGCAGCTAAAAATATAACAATGTAATTTTTATTTTGGGGGATGGATAGAAGTTGGGTATAAGTGTTATATTTGTGCATACATTAAACAATTAAATACAATTCTATCTGAATAAACTAATTATGTTTATATAAAATATTCTTGACTCTATTTTATTTCCTGGATTATAAAGTGCTATTTATTGTCTTTATAATTTTAAAACAACTTACAATTAATCGCAAATTCATAAAAAAGCTAGTAACATCTTTAATTCTTAACCTCTATAAGTTAATAAGCCTAGGGGGAATAAAAAAATTAAAAATCTGAATCCTAATGTCTAATGAGCCTCACTATAGAGTCTTCTATAATGAACTATCATTTCTAAACCAAAGAAAGAAAACAAAAACACAATTATATTATTTACCTGCATCTGCAATTCTCTGGAAAGCAAAATGTGAGTTCACATCACAAAATTGTGCCTTTGTGCAAAACCTTAATTGGATTTTTCTAATGCATACAGAATTGTTGGAGGAAGTCTTAGATTCCACTTGTACCAGGCAGCTCAATTAGTCTCCTGTCAAATCCCTTCAACTCCTAAGTTTGCTAAAGTACAATTGTACAAAGAGTAAGGTCATTTGAGATTAAGAAGAAGACAAGGATGAGTTGTGTGAACATTATCCCTTGAAAAACTGCAATTACAGGGAAATAACCAGGTCTTCACTATTGTCTCTTTGACTCACACACAAGCAAGTACATAGTGAGCTTTATCCTTTTACAAGGATGGCTGCTTGTCATAACATGACACAAGAAAGGACACCCCTTCCAAATGTTACTTTCTTTGGAAGCACTGGCCAATGGCTGCAGCACTTTGTGAATGTCGTGGGCTGAGCCCATGTTGCTATATGACAAAGCTCTGAGAGGGTACTACTCCCGATAAAATTTGTTAAAGTTGTAGTTGTTCAAGTGTTTTAAGTACAGATTGGAAGTGGGCGTGAAGGTTTGACCAGCGTGTAGCAAAACTTGTTGCTTGTCACCATCCATTTGGAGAAACATTGGCAAGATCAGCAAACACCCAAAGAGTGAAGCCATGTTTTCAATTATGTTAAGGGGCTGGGGAAAACAGTATGATGTTCTGATTCAAGCAGAACATTGAAACTGATTCTGGAAAGAAGGGCATATCTGGGCATGGGATTATTTGACTCCTATGAAAAAAATAAAGGAATAAAGGATTTCTTTGTAAGGCTCACAAATTTCCTATGTCACAGTCATCAGATACTTTTCATAAGCAGTGAATTAGGGAAGCGGTCATAGGTTCAAAAAGCATTAATAGAAAGAACAAGGGAAGAAGCAGCAAGGGCACTAGGGGGATAAAACTCTACTAAACTCTCTTAAAAAATTCTCCATTAGTAAGTAAGAAGAAAAAGAAGTACATCCTGATAAAAGAAGGAAAAGATATGCTGCAAAGAATTGTTCTGACCTAGGCTTCCTGATATAGTAAAAAGCACACAATTACTCCCCAAACCCTCTTTTTTTATTATTTTAACGGCTGTGAATTCCTTTCATTCAAAGCACATGTTTAATCACCAAGAGTTTATAAATAGTCCAACAGACGTCTGCCACAGTCCTTCGGATAAGGCTGGTAAACACCTAATTGGCAATTATCTTGGCAAGGCCACATGGAAACACAGTCAAAAACGGAGCTTCAAAGTACAAACTGACACCATCCACAATGTTGCTTCCTGCAAAGGCCCACTCTTCCTTTATGTCTTGTGGGAGGGGCCAATCAACTCCAAGCCTTACTCCTGAGTCGTCCCTTTTGTTTTAACTGTTCTTGCCTTCTGGCAGCTCTGCACATGTGCACACTAGGAACAGGCTCTCCCTGTTCCTCTGCCTCTCTGATGTCCGACTCTGGAAGCTCCGGAGTCCACACATAACTCCCAGATGGCCTTGGCCCCATCTCTGCTTCCAACGCAGAACCCTTGTCCGAACCTTTCCCAGACTCCAGGACTGGCCCATGTACCTCCCCAGACTCCTCACTATCCAACTCTGCTGCCAGCTCCACAGACTGCTGGCGGACCACAACAAGAATATGTAAGAATGAGCTAATTCTCACTTCTTACTGTGAAAGAATTGTTATCTCTTGCTCAATTATTTTCATGTTTTTTTTGTCATTGTGCAGGATTCCTGAGAAGCCTACCTAATCTGGAAGAGTTGTGAAATTCTCCCAACATATAATAAGAGCTCTAAGGTCTGAATAAAAGTCTTTTCTCTGATGGATGGAAAGGATATTGAAACTGAGAATAGGGCAAACTAAAAGCTACTGATGCTCCTAAAGTGTGTTGAACTGGTTAGACTTATAATGACCAGCCAGGGGGAGAATGGTCTACTAAAAGAAAAAAGGAAAGTATCACTAAGAGATGGATGGTTTATCTCACTCTTGCTACAAAATAGGCATTATTTGTTGGTATGATATTAAAAGATAGATCTTGGGATCTGTTGAGGATCATTGCTAAAAGAGGGAGCTCCCACTTACTGGTATTCAACCTGATATAGCTGAGCTGGTTAGAAAGGGTGTTGCTGCTTCCAGAAATTAGGATTTCTAAGATGAAGATGAAATGACAGATGCAACAATGCCATATTTGTAATGTAAGGTGCAAAAGAAGGATGGCCTTTGGGCTGACTTTTTGTTCATAGGTTATGTTTATAACTTCCAATATTACTTTGGCAATCTGACTACGAAGAGAATCTATTCGAAAGATAGGCTTGAAATACCTTCAAATTGCAAGGAATTGGAGTTTATTCATATGTCTTGATGCTTTATGCTTGAACAGGCACATCAGATGCAGAGAGCTTGAACTGAGTTTCCCATCTGGATATGACTGCTTTAGTAGTGAGGACAAGTGTTATGTAAGAAGACATGAACTGAATACCTTACACAAGATTATCTGAAAACAGCTACTGGTGATTTCAGGTGGAACAGAGAAAAAACTATATATTATTGGTGTTGGGGATATGAAACAAAGTTATCACATCTGCAACAAGCACATCAGAAAAATACGAAACAACTGAAGTCATAGTCAACCGTGTGTGTGAGAGAGAGGAGGGGAAGGGGGAGGGGGAGGGAGACAGATACTTCTTGAAGGAAAGTCAGATATTAACACAAGCCAATTTAGCAGAGAGGAGAAGATGACCAAGATGACAGACAGAATTTGGGTTCACTGATTGGCCAATAAAAAACCCCTTGATATTTATTGATCTAATGCTGGGGTTTCCAACTTTGGCAACTTTAAGACTTATGGACTTGAATTCCCAGAATTCCTCAGCCAGCAAAGCTGGCTGAGGAATTCTGGGAATTCAAGTCCACAAGTCTTAAAGCTGCCAAGCTTGGGGACCTCTGATCTAATGATTTATGCTAGAAAAACAAGCCTGGTAACTTCCAGCCCTAGGGAGATTTGACCTTTGGAACTAGTATAGTAGGCATGAGCTGATAAACTTTTGATTTTGAGATGATTGATATTTAGCACTACTGAGAATGGGCTTTCCCCAGGGTGGTGCTTGCAGCAAATTGTGAGAGCTGTAATCCAACATATGGACCACCCCAAAAGACTACCTGTAATAAAAGGCCTGTTAAAAATTAAGAGCCAGTATAGTATTGAGAAAATTTAAAACCCTTTTCATCATCATAACTCTTTTGACAAACGGCTTGATTGCTTTCCTAGAAAAGCCTTCTATATATTTATAAACTGCTGATGGCATCAAAAAAATGAACTGATGCACATAAGTGTTTCATGCCTAAATAGTTAAAAAGGGAAATGATGAATATAATTGTTTACATTTTAGTCCCCAAAAGACCTTTAGGTTGAACTGAAAAATTCAGCTTTTTATTTTTCTCTATTGGTTATCAAGGGAATGAAAAATCATGAATGCTTTGCTTACATAAAAAGCTGAATACCGACATTACTGCAAACACCCCAATACATGTTAGTTTAAATCTTTAAAAAAAGCTTCCATTACTTCATGCAAGACAGACATTTTAAAAATGCTGTATTTTGCATTTTTAAACAGTGATGCAGTGACTAAAAAAGGCACGTCCTTAAATTGAAAAGGGGGGAGCATATTTTTGCCTATTTAAATCTTTTTTAATTTGAAAAGACCAGAATGAGAGGAATATGGGAGAAACGTTAGAGCATTGAAAAATGGTTATAATAAAGCCTTCTATATTAAGAATCTCACCAAACCTTATAATTATGACAGCACATATATCTTCTTAGTTGAATTTTTATTCCTCTCACCTGGTCGTGTAATGAATATAATGCTAGACCAAAATAGTTGTGGGCTGAAATAATCTCATCTAAAGACTATTGCAAAGTGAAGTAGAATATGCCTGTATAAAAAGTCTCGGTAGAAAACAAAGATAAGCAACTCCATGTTCTCTAGATGCTTTTCATTTCAACTGCCATCAATTTCAACCAGCATAAACAATAAGAAAAGAGTCCCAAAGGTGCTTTTTCAAGAGGCAACTGGATTTTCCAGAAAGTCCAGCAGCCTCTTGAAAAAGCACCTTTGGGACAACCATGATTGGATGACTGAGAATCTCCATAAAAGGTAAGAAGAGAAAGGAAAACATATTTGGAGGGCATCAATTTAGTATTAACCACAAACTGTTGACTAATATGATTTCTGGGTAACACTTCTAGAATACTACAGGTAGTCCTCGATTTATGGCCATTATGGATCCCAAAATTTAGATTGCTAAGTGAGACATTTGCTAAGTGAATTTTGCCCCATTTTACGACCTTTCTTGCCGCATTTGTTAAGTGAATCACTGCAGTTGTTAAGTTAGTGACACAGTTGTTAAGTGAATCTGGCTTCTCCACTGACTTTGCTTGTTAGAAGGGCA